ATTTTGGTTCTATTTGAAATAGTTTCTACTATGCATACTACAGTATAGACTATGTTAGCTGTTAGTATGTTGTGCATATAATTGTCGGTATAGTGTAATTGACAGAGTATTAATTAAGTTATTGATAAGAGACTGCTTGAGAATATAATGATTGAATTACACTTTAAAAAAATGTACATAACTTCTAATAACTGTAACTACTTAAGAGGTTTTTAAACGCCGGCGTATGGGAATTGCCTCTATCAATGTTCCTCTCGAACTTCGCTTCTTATATATGTAAATGTTGCCAGCCCGTTAAGATAGTGTGGCCAGGTTGCCATACAGCTCATTCAATTTTACATGTATATAAAATATATAAATATAATATATATAATAATATATTAAAATAGAATATAATAAAATAAATAAAAATATATATACATAAGTTAAATAAATTAGAAAAATTATTTACAAAAATTACATATATGGATATGTATGTATATATGTATATATGCATGTAGATAAATACATATATAATTTATCTCTCTTCACAACATTTTGTTGACATGAAACGTAAAGCTTAAGATATCTTATGATGTGTATAGCTCATATGCGTACAGTGGATGGCTAATGATGGATTAAATAATGAATCTAACTCATAAAAATTCGATTTATCTCTATGTAAGCTGCCTATATATTCCGATCTTTCAGCTGCTTTGATCTCATTTGGGTTGAGTACACCTACATTGCATGAGCAGAACTGTATGATTTATATTAATCATATAGCTGAGAGCTGAGCTGGCTCCCCTTCGGATCTCCCTTCTATGAGAGTATGCCGTATTCGGCTAGGGGCAGCGCTAGCCCAATTTTCGTAATTGCTGTCGCTGGTTTCGTTTTTGGTTTCGGCGGCGACAAGGCAAATGGAAGCAGCTAAGCCACAAGAACAGGCGAAACGAGACGCCGAACAGAGCGCGTCGATCGTCACTATAACTGAGCAGTCAGACACATTTCGTGCCATCCCCCCACCTTGCCCCGCTCTCTTGAATGCAGTCAACTGCAAGACATGCCACACCCTCCCACACACACACATACACACACACATTCTCACACATAGACGCATTAATGACGCATCGCATAAATTATTTTAAATTACTTTTAATTGGCGAAGTTTCTGTTTTGTTTTTAATTTCTGTTGGGCTCATTTATTAATTTAATTTTTCTGTAACTTTTGTGTTTTTCGTTTTTCCTAGAACTCCTTCATTTTTTCAAGTGTATGCGGTAAATGGGTTAAGATTTGTCTTTGAAGTTCCATTTGACTAGATTTCATTTGGCTTGATATAATTAATTGTGTAATGCCCATGCGCTAAGTAAAAAGAGCATATTAGTTCTGGGTGTTGTCCATTTTGCTGTGCATTAGTCTGCTCTTGAAATTTTGATAACTCAAATATATAATTTATTATATTATATTTAATTAAATAAACTTAGTAGTTGATTCAACTTGATTTATAAAAATTAAACCACAAAAGAAATCAGATATCCGATTGAGCTATATATTTAAATATATATTGCTGATTAATCAGAATAATTTATCTTACTAATTCATTGACTTAACTTAACCAACCGAGACTTTCAGATTAATATCTTAAAGATGTTAGATGCTTAGATTATTATTATTATTATTATTATTATCAGTATTATAATTTGCATTATTGCTATTGTATATATTATATATAGTTGTACATTAATGTATCAAATGGAATTATATTCTGTACATTATAATATCAAATAGAATTCTCTTCTCGTTGATAGCTTGCATAGCTTTACATGGAATTCGATTGAAAAGTTATGATAAAAGCAAGCATAAGCAAATTATATAAAAAAAAAAACAAAAAAACAAAACAAAAACAATATTTTCAAGAAGAGTTCTATAAATAATATCGGAATAAAAAACGTACACGTTAATAGTAAGTTAATGCCAGAAAGTAAATAAACGAGTTGCATAAGAAATGCAAATGCAACACGAAGCGAGCGCTGATTGTGGAGCCGTGAGTCAGGCTGAATAGCAATGACTATGTTGCTACCCTGTAATGCGAAATGAGACTCTATCATAAGCAATTAGCTATAGTAGATCAGAGTTATATATAGATACAAATATCTATTGCAGAATATTTAGTCTCAGTCTCAATCTACCTCTCTCACTAAATATAATACTATCTATTATTGTCTATTATACACAAACACCTCTCTCTTTTTTGTCGTACTCGATATATTTTTCTCACAGTCTCTCTCTCTATATCACTCCCACTGCCTCGTATGAAGCGTAGAGCGTTAACTCGATCTCTCTTACCTCTCTCTGCGTTTCACTCCTTTCTGTTTCTCTCTTTACGTCTCACTCTATCTTTCCCTCTATCTGACCCTCTCTCTCTCTCACACTCCCTAATACTTCCGAGCTCAACTGAATATAAAGTTTAGCTCTCTCCTCTTTCTATAGAGTAGAGCATTTCGCCTAGTGCTCTAATCTTCCCCTCTCTATTTCTTTCTCTATCTAGTTCCATCTACACTCCCTATCTCTCTCTTTGTCTTTCTCTCTCTCTCTCTCTCTTTCTCTCTCTGTATCTATTAAAAACTCCCAATCAATTTCATACAAATATCTAAGAGTAGTCTCTAGTCTCTATCTCTTTCTTCCCATCACGTCCCCTCTCTCTTTCTTTCGCTTATCTGCATCTCCATAACACTTCACATAAAAATTCTTGTTGCTTTTGGCACGATCATAAATTCTTGAAATTCGCACGCAGCGCATGCGATTAGCCGTTTGGCCAGTGTTGCGCAATGCCAATATCGATAATTGATCGATAAGCGTGATGACGTCACTGACAGCTGTTCTGGCAGGTGTGCAGATGCAGTTGGGCAGGTGGGCCATTGCAATGCCACGCCTCGCTGCCTTGCAGCGCCCTTGGCAGAGCCAGTGCAAAGCTCTCTCTCTCTCTCTCTCTCTCTCTCGCTCGCTCAGCTGGCTTTGGCTCAAGTGCATTGAACCCAAAAGCGAGAAATTCTTATGCAAAATACAAAAAAAAATTAAACACGAGCAACGAACGTTTCAAAATTAACGCAAAGTTGCTGAGCAACGCTGCCGTCGTTGTCGCTGCTGACGCTGACGTCGACGTCCAGCTCACAATTACAAACAATATTTATGTTAAATGGGCAGACGGGCGCCGCCGCCGCCGCCGCCACCGCAGCTGAAATGTGGCTGTAGTATGTAAAAATAATAGAGCAATAAGAGCGGAGATATTCCGCACTCCCTCTCTCCCTCTGGCACTGTCTCTGCCGCTGTCTCCTTCACAATTTCTTCTGCCTACGCCTCTGCCTACTTGTCTTGGGTACTTGCCCCACGCTCTGCCTCAAGTTTGGGTTAAATTTTGTTTTGTTTTGTTTCGTTTTTTGTTTCTGATGATCTAGCCAAGGGTATTTCTTAAGGTGTGTTGGCTTACAGATGTTGCATGTACACGTACATACATATATGGAGAGATGTATGGCTCGTAATAAACTTGGCTCATAATAGTTGTATAGAGTGCGAGCAAAAACTTGAAAACATTTGTTGCTTATATTTCGTTTATATACAGCTGCGTTCATGAAAATTGTAGAGCAACTGAGCATTAAATGTTGGACGACCAAATTTAGTAAACCCATAAACAGAGAATTCGGAAAAAAATGGTTTCAAATTTTTTAGGAATAATATTGCTTTGAATAGTATTGAAAACAAAATTTATAAATTTATAAAAAAAAAAAATAATAATAAAATAAATTTATATACATAATATTATTTACATTTATACATTTAGTGTAATACTTAATTGAACTATAACCTGCCTAAATAATATCTGAAACAAAGAACAGGAAGTTTTAAAACCCTTGTTAGGGTATCTAAAGTTCGATAAGTTTTTGTAAAGAGCCCCAATTCATACGCCTCGTCTGAGCAGCCTCCCCCGCTCACCTGTCTCTTAGGTTTAGCTCGCAACTTCAACAAATTAAAAAGGTTTTTTTTTGTTTTTGTAATTTTATTATTATTATTATTTATCTTGTTGTTGGTGCTGCTGCTGCTGCTGCTGCGCTTCACATTGTTATCGCATACGTTGACGTCGACGTCGAAGCCGTCGTCAAGAACGTTGAAGAACCGAAGTGAAACGAACTTTGAGAATTTCGCGGGGCCACGCAACGCATCAAGCGCAGGCAGAGCGACGGAGATAGAGATAGAGACGATGGAATTGAATTATTGAATAAGATGCGGGCATGGCAAATGCTTGAGCGCAAGGAGAGAGTGCGCGGAGAGGCGAGAGTGGGATAAGCAGTTACTTAGCTCAAGCTGGTTGCCTGCCCATTGTAACGTTCTTCTTCATTTCTTCCTCTTACTCTTTGTCTTCTTCTTCTTCTGCTTATGTTTCTAATGCATACAATTTTCCACACAGCAACGGGCAAACGGCATTTGACGCGGCTGCAGTTGCATTTATTTCTGCTATTTATGCAGTCCCGCTGACTTATTAGCAACACGCATGCGTGCAGCAGCTACAGTCCATGAATGTGTGTGCTGAGCAAATTGTGGATGGGGGAGTAGTTTGTTGATTCCGTGCGCTTTCGGTATTTTTTAGCGCTTTTTCGTGCGCTTCTTCAAATGCTGCGCGCGCACTCTGATTGGATAGGAATATTCAGTGGCGCCTGAAAGCATGCAACGATTTTTTAATTCTATCGTGCATTGTCCGCGGTGTTCGCTAGATGGCGCCACTGTATGCGAGTAATGATTGCAACTAGATTGTAAAGTTTAATTATAATTGATTTATAATTAATACGTTTATAGTATTAAGTGTGTATAATGTATATATAAAGATTTTGAATATTCGAATTTGTTATGATATTTTCTCTTTGTTTGCTTATGCCTATTAAGATATTCATGTTGATTAAGACATTCATCTATCATATTGTTTTTCATATATACAATATTTACTTTTGTTCTTTTGCCTTTCTTGTAGAAACGGAGGGCGAGCTGACACGCATGATCAAACCGCTTCCATGGGGGCCTCTCTACTGTGTGCTGCAGCAGGACGATCAAACATTTACCGCCTACTGCAGCGAGGAGATTTCGGTAAGTAACGAATGACATAATGTAGCGAGTAACGAGTGGAATGCGGTGACTAACAACGAGTAACGAGCTATGGAAGTAACTAACTTTATAACTGTAAGGAATATAAAAGTAGTGAGTATCAGCTGAGTACTGATTGAGTACTCAGTAACGAGTAAAAACTAAGTATGAGTACCGATTAGGAGTAATTTGTAGAACATTAGCTAACAGTTAGACATTAATAATTATCAAAATAAAGTAAAAAGCAGCAAGTCATTAGATATACTAGGAAAGCCATTGCCGATAAACTGTGATGAGTAATAGTGGAGAATTTAACAAATATGAAGTCTGAAATAACGAGTAACAGTAGTAATTATACCCAGTAGCGGCAAATTAAATGCAGAACGGAATCGAGCAGCGAGTAAACTTTGTATGTAGCGAGGAATTGGAAAATAACACTTGATATTATGATTAATGGTCAATATTTAATACAACAACGGATTATAAGCTATATATAAGGACTAAAAAAGGTCTTCCTAAGCGTAGCATGGTAAAAGTAGCGAGTGGCGAGTAACATACATAAACTAACAACTTAAATGGAGCGAGTAACTCGCTGGGGATTATAAAGGAATTAACAGCTTAACCACCTCGGTAGTGAAATGTTGTTGCTCTATTAATTGTTTAAATAACCGTAATTTAAGCTTCTAATATATTTACATTTTCATTTACAATATAGACTTTCTATAACACTCATTTCTATATGTCTACTATGCATTTGTTGTTGTCTCTTTTCCCCCACACTCTTGCACCCACTAATATGGATCATATAATACTACTAACTTGTAGATATTTCCGGCTACGCCCAAAAAGGAGCTGGAGGTGCGTAATGCTTGATAAATGAAAAATAATAACAATAATCATAATAGTAATAATAATAAAATATTATAAAAATAGAAATAAAATAAATGGACAATGATAATAATATATTCTCTATAAGCTAAAATGTAACTTTGTTTTTACGAACTTACACATACATATTAACGGCTCTTGTTACTTTCTCTGTCCCTCCCGCTCTCTCTCTCCCTCTCTCTCTCTCTCTCTCTCTCTCTGTCTCTTGCTCTTTGTCTACTTAGCTGGGCGATGTCTGCTATGAGGATATACCGCGCGTGCGCTTGGATCGTGCACGTCGCCCCGTCAAAGCCCTGTGGCACGGTCCGCCCACACTGGCGGAGGAGAACGAGGATTCCGACAGCTGTCTCAGCACCGGCATGACCGGCCTCAACGACATAGTGTTGAATACAACGCTCTACAATGATCTAGGTGAGTGCCAGCAATATCAAATTTGTACAGACTGCGAAATACTCATTAGCTGTGGATGGAATCCACTGTGATTTACCTACCAAATATGTTTTTGAAATCTGCAATATATTATTTTTAAGGCATATTCTACATAGACAGAAGATATGACTTGTCATGTACAATCTACATATAAAATATTTCCAATTCCAATTCTCTAGCAAAATGTATGCATATAGTACCCCGATCAGCCCCGCCCCCAGCTTAGCACTTCATGGGACGACGATACACCTGAGTAAATACGCAAAATTTGGGCAGTTTGCACAAAACCAATATGCTCAATGCACGCAAGTGGGGGGAAAGGGGTGAACTGGGGTGGGGTGGGGGGTACTTATAAAGTGTTAAGTGTGACCAGTCGGGCTGACCTTTTCCATTAGTCGCAGCTCTTAATTGTATTGACCGACGAGTGCAGTCGTTGTTGTTGTTGTTGTTGTTGTTGCCGATCATATCAAAAGCGTCTGTCTGCCTCTCCCCGTCACTCTCGCCCTCCCTCTCTCCATCTCTCTCTTTGTGTGTGTCTGTGCTGTCTGTCAGGAAATTTGTTTGTATCGTCGTCACGCATGCCAGCACATTGGGCACAATAGCAGACGGGCAAAGAGGGTGGGTGTGAATGAGAGAGAGAGGGGCAGAGATTGAGAGAGGGAGAGCGAGAGAGCGCTATGCGACACCCGACAAACAACAACAATGGCGAATTCGTTAATGACAATATACGCGCGATTGGGCAGCAGTCCAGTTCGTGCAGGCGACAAAAGTGTCGCAAACGAATTTCAAGGAAAGCAATAGAAATAGGAAATATTCGCGTTACATTAAGCACATGCAAACCTCTGTGTAAGATCTAAAAATAGTTTCGATACATGGAATGTTTGGCATGTGAAACATTTGCATCCATGCATTTGTAATGGAAAGGGAAACGCCGCTCTGACATACATAAGTCAAACATTTCCAGGGTATATATATGTATATACATATGTATACATATAACACTTTTCTTATCCGCTTGTGTGCAGAGTGTATGTAAAGTGCCAAAAGCCCCGTAAAGCCACAAATTGATGGATCGTAAAAAGTAGAAGAGAACCATTAAAACAACTCTAATTACTCTGCTCGATTTCTAGGTTTAAATGGCCGGGGGTTTGCCTAGTTAAATGTTAACCTCAAACTGTATATTTATCGTAATCGTAATTGTTATCGTTATCGCTGTTATTTGGCAATCCGCTGTTGCCAATGCCGCTTACAATGTTTTCCTTGTTAAGCTTCGCATACAAACTCATCTATTTACTCAATTATTAGTTGCTTTAGCTGTTGTGCGTGTTGTTGTTGTTGTTGTTGCTGTCATCGTTGTTGCTGTTGTTGCTGCTTTTTATTTATGTTTTATGTTGTTAATGGCTGCGTATCAAGGCTGCCGCTTGGCCAATTCAAAGCTAAATAGCCGCTGAAGCGGAGACTGCGCAGGCGTCGCTGCTCGACACCAAAACTAAAATGCAATTAAAATAGAAGAAGCAAAAAAGTAAAAATAAAAAAAAACTGCAGCGATTAGCTCAACTGCTGTTTCTTCTTCTTCTTCGTCGTCGCTTACTTCTACTGCTGCTTCCTCTTCTACTTCTCACTGCAAATGTAAACAAAGCGCTGCAATGGCCAGCGGCAGCAGCAGCAGCAGCAGCAGCAACAGCAACAACAACAAAGACTGTGAGCACTTGCAACGCTTCGTGCGTTGCGCCGTTCGCAGCTTCGTTTCGGCTGCCAAACTGTTCCAAGAACACAGAACGCCTGGGAGAGGGAGAGAGAGAGCTAGCGAGCGAACGAACGAACGAACGAAAGAGCGACAGACAGCGCCTCAGCCAAAGACTGTCTCATTTCCGTTGCGTTTCATTTCATTGACTTGCACTGCACTGTGGAGCAAATGTGCTGTTGGCGCTGCTGAAATGGCAATTCCTGATTGTAAACGAAGTTCCGCTCGTGATTACAATTTCTATAGAATCTATAATAGACTATGTTACTCATGTACATAGTTGTTAATTTATTTATTGAAATCCTATTTTTATGTAATATAAATACTAGGAAAAAAAATTTGAGCCGACATTATTTCGAGCATACTATGAATGTAATAACGTATTAACGTTACGTTGATTCCAATAATAACGTAGATACACGTAAATACATTTATTTGTTGTGTATTTATGTATTTATATACATACATATGAGATTATATTCATGTATGTATATATATTTATTTATTAGATGTTATGATCGTAATATAGGTACATATGCTTCAATAAAATCATGAATACAAGTATATGCATTTATTTATTTATTGTTTAGATCTATTTATTTATATAGATTTTTATATTTTTTGTATTTTATTTTTATATTTTTGACACTTTATTTTTTATCAATATACGGTATAAAAACGTGTTGTTTTTTATTTTATTTATTTATTATTTTTAATTTTTTTTTTTTTTTGTTTTTATTTTATCTTTTTTTTTTCATTTGCTTAAACATAATCATTCATTCAATGGAAACTGATTTGTTAAAGATTAACATAAGTACGCAGGGAAAATTTGTATAAAAACCCCATCAATATTTAGATACTTATAATATTATATTTATATATAAATTGAAAATATATATATACTGATACAATGGGTGTTAGAATAAATATAAAATGAAAACTAATTTTAAATTGAGCACGAGCTACTGGTGCTTCGGCTTGATGGATTCATATATGTATATAGCTGAGCATAATAATTTGTTCACACACGACCGTCGCTGTGCAGTTAAGTACAAGAGTTTTCGACAGCCGAGGCCCACTGTGTCGTATGGCCAGCTTTGACGCTGCCGTTGGTTGTTGCTGCGTTTCGGTTCGGTTCGATTCGTTTCAGTCCACTTTAAGCTTCCGGCGCAGGCGGTTGAGTTCGGTGCTCGGTTCGTCAGCTCTCGCTTCGGTGCGTTCTTGCGGCACGGCACTTGCTGTTTAGTTTAGTGTTGTGTTGTTTTTTTTTTTTTTTCTAGTATGAATATTTGTTATTTTTTTTTGTTTTTCATATTTGTTATTTGAAGTTTAGTCGTTGCGCTCGATTCACAGCTGAGTGGCGGCTCTGCTGTGCCGATGTCTATGTGTTTGTGCCTTATTTTTTATTGTTAGTATTTTCTGTTTCGGTGTCTTTCCGTTGGCATCCAGCAAAGACGCCCTCAACATTTTTGAATTTTTTTAAACGAATTTCCATAATGAAAAATGTTTGTGTACATGCTTTTTTTTTGTTGTTGTTGTGAGTGAATGAAAACTTTTTGCTGTGCGAAAAAGCAAACAGCACGAGGCTGAAGAAAAATCACAGAATGTTGTAGTCCATTGGAAAATATTTTGTAAAACTATGCGCGCGGCGGCGCGTTGCGAATGCGAAATGAAATGTTCTAAAAATAAAATGCAAACAACAAACAAACAAAACTACAAAAGCAACAAAAAGCAAATAAACCTGCGACTCGCAACGCGCACAGACCCCAAAAACTGAGGCGAAAAAAAAAACAACAAAATTTAAAATAAACCAAAAAAAACACGCGAAAACTGGGCAATTCACACACAAATACACACATACACACTCGCATAGATCATCATCTTCAAACTCAACTGGGCTATAAATTTAGCAAAGGCAAACGGAGCAAAATATTTTTCTACAAAGGAAAATTCGAAAACGTATCAGAAAAGAGAATATAATAAAAAGGAATATTTGAATAAAACCGCCCACAAACGCACGCGGCGCGTTTTGTGCGCGTTTAAAACCGCGTCGACTGCGTGGAGCAGCAGAAGAAGAAGAAGCCGAAGCAAAATTAAAAGAAAATATAAAACGAAATTAGGGAAATGAGCGCTTGACACCATTCCTGAAGGCGTAACGCGGCATGGGAATTGAGGCGTGGCAGCGCCTAAGCGCCCAAAAACTTGGCCAACACACACCGGAAAGTCGAGCAAGTGTTGTTGTTGTTGTCGTTGTTAGTTAACCGTTTATGGCTATAAGCGCATCCGGATTAGCTTCTGTGACACTATGCCAAAGGTAGCAAAGGTGGAAGCAATGGGGCAGTGGCTTGAGCAGGGGAGAGGTGGGGAGGGGGGTATTTATATGGAAATCAGAATAGCAACTGTAATGGCAAACTATGTCAGCCACATTTGGCCAAGTTAGCAACCAAAAAAAAAAAACAAAAAAAACAGAAAAACAAAACAAAACAAACAAAACCGCTTAAAGAAAGTGAGGTAGAAGAAAAGAGAAAGAGAGGGAGAGGGAAAGAGCTTAAAAACGCGCGCTGCAAATGCCGCCAATTGACACCAATTAATTAATTTGATGCACATGACCCACATTTTATTTACAACAACAAAAACAGCGAGAATCTAAATATATAGACATATGTATGTATCAATGTATATGCATATATATATGTATGTATGTATGTCTAAAACTGCATAAATACGCATTTTATGCATTCGCTTCTTGCTGTTGTTGTTGTTGTTGTTGCTGTTGTTGTCGCTGAGGCTGCGCGTTGCAAACTTTCTATTTTGAAATTAAAACTAAAAATAATTGAAAATACGTGTGTATTTTAAATGCATTAATCAAATGCACTAGTGCAGCAGCTCAAGCGAGCCCCCCACCCCCCGACCCCCTGCCTTTACCACAGCGCACCTCAGCTCACCTGTCTACCTCTCTCTCTCTCTCTCTCTCTCTCATACACACCTAACCCGCATGAGAGCGCTTAGCGCTTTGCAGACAACAATAAAATGCAGAAAGGAAAAAAATTGCAACCGCAGCATAATAACAGTAAAAAGTAAAGCTTTTCCTTTAGGCAAGTTTGTGTAATACTCTATCCTTAAACTCTAATTAGAATCTTCTAAATTTAGTTGTCATTGCATTTATTTATAGAGTATTTAGCGAGTCTCATATATCGATCCGGTTCTTGAATGGTAATTCAAGCTTTTGTATGGAGCTCTATGAGCTCTCTCTCTCTCTTACTCTCTTTCTCTCTCTCTTATAGACAATCTCTGATCACATATCCTCTTTTGATAGAGCATTCGGTTAGTCTCATATAGAAAAAGTTGTCTTTTTTGTAGGTGTAGTACTTTTCATAGAGTATTTATTCAGTATCATATAGAACATTTCTTTGTTTTTTTTTTTTTTTGTAAAAGATCTGTAGATTGCTTCTATATAATATTCCCTGAGCCTTATATAGAGTACATATGTCGCTTATAGAACATTCAGCGAGTCGTATATATGAAATATATCTTTGTATTCCCTTAGTACTCGCTTTTATAGGCACTTTTTCGTATGAACCTTTTATGGAGTATTCCCTTAGCCTTACTTGACCTCGTTGGCATTCGCTCTATTTATAGAGCCTTTATTTTGCAACATAGAAGAAACTCACTTATTATATAATCTCTGTGCACCCTTGACCTCTCTTATAAAGCCTTTAGGTGGACTTCTAGAGAAAGTTTCTCTCAATAACTGTCAAGATATTTCGCTTATCTATTTGCATAAATTCCACTTTAATTACTGAATCATTGGCCTATAAATCCTGAGTGTGTGTATTTTTGTGTGCTTATCATCAAGTTCAAGTCGTTGTGAGCCGCTGATACTCTACTATATCACTTTTTTCCTGGAGCTTTTCAACTGGGAAAAGCAAACGCCAATAGAAACAATGGGGCGCTCCCTTTGTTAGCTGCGACGCGAGCGGGCATTGGGGGTGGGCTTGGAAGTGCTGGGTGGGAGTTGGGGAACAGCCATTGTCTGTTGATGATGATGATGAATGCCATTGTATTGTTATTGTTGCGTTTGTCCATTTGTCGCTTGTTGTGCGGGTGAAATTGGCAGCCAAAAAAACGCGCGTTTTGCGAGCGTTTTTTATCGCTCGAACATCGCCAGCCTCTGCTCTCTATATGACTCTCTCAATCGTACTCATTCTATTCCAGTCTCGCTCTCTCTCTCTCTTTCTCTCTCTCTCTCTCTCTCTCTCTCTCTCTTTCTCTCTCTCTCTCTCTCTCTCTCTCTCTCTCTCTCTCTCTCTCTCTCTCTTTCTCTCTCTCTCTCTCTCTTGAAGTTTTATGCGCAAATAGTTCAAGTCGAAATTAAAATGCATTACAATTGGCGACGTTTGTCTGTGATGCCTTGTCTACAACTGCCACGCCCATTTTGCTGCTGTTGTTTTGTTTATTTAGTGAGTCGCTGAAGGTACTACTGGCAACTGCAGGTGCATTGCGGCCGCTGCGCTTCTGTAGATACGAATGTATCTCAAAGTTGTTAGCAGCTCGTTTTTTTGCTGCTGTATCCGTTGGCTTTGAAGCTGTTTGCTGGCCATTCAATTGAGCATAAATGAAACAGCAGCAACAGCAATAACAACAACGTCGACAACGACAACAATTAACGGCGTCGCATTCAGTAATTCATATGTCATAAATATCTGTCAGTCAGTCGACTGTATCTGTATCCATGAGATACTTGTATCTATGTATCTGTTTGCATGTAAATTGCTCGTTCGCACTTTGCACAAAAAAAAAAAAAACAAAAACTGCTCGATGTCGTCATCGTCATCGTCATCATCATCATTATCTTTATTATCATCATCATCATCATCAGCGTCTTTTAGTCCCGTCGAGCAGTCGATCTACATATGGCAATTGTTTCCACTTCCAATTTGAGCTAGCCAATTATATAATGGATATATAAACACACGCACACATGAATAGAAATCTACATATACATATGTATGTATGCATGTATGCCTGTATGTCTGTGCATGTGTTCAAGTACTTGTGCAATTATTTACGACTATTTCGTGTCTATTTTTAATCGGACTTAGCCCTAGGATTGCGCACAAGTGTGAAGATACTTTAAGATCTGCTACTTGAAAGATATATCTATATACAAATCTCTATATGTATACATACATATATAGTTGATGATTTTTGAATACTGATTCGATTATAATTGTTATTGCCCCATCGAACTACTTCGTTAGTTTTTGGCAATCACAGCTTAAGGCAATTCTCAGAAGAATTTCTAATGCTCGCTCACAATGTGCCAGAGAGTATATGGGTTATGTGATACGTATTATAATACATATTCATATTATATGTATGTCTATTGAAAAATATATATACTTTTGCATTGCTCTTGACCTATCGACCACATCTATCAATGGAATGTTCTTCTTAAGACCATTGATCTTAGACATCAAGAATTTGTATGAATTCCTATTGAATAGGAGTACTCCGTAGTACCATATTAAATGCTAGATCCAACTTTGAAGCTAGCAGTTATAGCTTCAAATCGAGTTATAGATATTTAGCTATATGGGACTTCGTAAATCATTGCCTCAGTTGGAGTTCTTTGTGAATCAATAATACACCAGAAACTTGAACTCGTTTTCGTATAGAACTAATTGAGTCTATCGAGGTATATATATCTAACTGTTTATCCATTCTATCATTATGAATACATTTAGCTATTAGCCATTCGACATGTGTATATAGAATGCCTATCCAAGCGTGATACTATAGTCGATAAGATCAGTTCGCAGTTATCGATAACATATCGTAGTTGAATTATCTGTTAGTATTTTGTTTTATATGCAGCTAAGCTAATATTGCTTTTTTCAATTTCTTTTCTGTAATCGATAAAAATTGATATATCGCTGTTTATTGGCAGATCGAGAAAAACTACTACTACTACTTCATACATGTTTTTATATTACACTTATATGTAGCTCCATCCTTTCCCTTCGCCTTGGCATCTTAACATTCATACAGATTCGAATGTGCTCTAACGAGAACTATAAATATTTATAGAGATACTTTGGAACTAAATGTGCATATACATAAATGTATATCTTCAAACAGTCTTGAGTAATTGAAGCACTAGTTCTGTGCAAAGTTCGGGTATCTGCTAGTCGAGCACTCGCTAGATCCATTGTCACATGTCTCTCTATCTCTTGCCTCCATTGCTTCTCCTCGGCTACATTGGCTGCCCATCCTGGCCAATCCTATGCGATAAGCTCTATTGGTCTTTGGCAACAGCAAAAGATTTATGTCAGCTTGCAACGTGTCCGCGCGCAGAGCAGAGCTGTTGCATCTGTAAACAGTTTTCGGGGTTTTGCCATTGTTTATATTGGAGCCCAACGAGTCGCTGGCTACTGCTAAGGGGCAGTGAGGGCGCGGGGACAGGGGCCGGGCTGGGGTGTGGCAGACGTTGGGGGTCAACGCAGTTGGCTGTAGTTGGAGCATGGGGCCCAGGGCCACTTTTTGCTGTTGCTGCTCGAACGAATTGAATTTGATTTGATTTGTTTACACGAATGTTTATCACACCTTGAGATGCGTTTGAAATCATTTCCAAAAATAAAAATTTCGAATTGTACGCCAATGCGCGACGCACTAGCTCGAGCACTAGCACAGTGCCACGCCTACCAGCGCCCACACAATGCTGAGAAATCAGATAAATATAGCGAAAAAAAGGCAACACAGAAACGAATATAAAAATAAGGAAAATAATCGCGTAAACAACCAAACTGGGCAACTACCAACAACAACTGGCAGCAGCAGCAACAACAACAACAACAACAATAAGTTCACACAATTCTGCCATTAAAAGACATAATGTGCCCAGCCGCTTCGTAGAGCCCGCTCTCGTCCACTCTTGGGCTGTGCTCCCTTTCAAGGCAGCCAGACAGAGACAAAGAGCGACAGGGAGGAAGGGAAGGAGGGGCAGAGGGTGGGCTGGACGAGGCAGAGAGGCAGAGGTAGCATTAAACAGTTAAATTGCTTTATGTGCCCATTTCAACATCTGAGGCCCCGTTGGGCGCTACTTGGGCCCAAAGTCTTGGGAGATATCTACCTAGCCTCTCCGCTCTCCACTCCTCCACCTCCTTTGGCTGAAGTTTCTTGCCCCTGCAAAAACAAAATATAATTTACATAATATGCAAACGTTGCCAGACCTAAAAGAGCCCGCAAAATTAGCAACGCTTCCTACTAACCAGAGCCCCTTTCACCTCCCCCTCCCCCAATAATTCGTGCACCTTTTGCTAACTAGTTGAAGCTACTTACGACAGCCCCATCAAAGTGGAGCCAGACAAAAAGGCCGCCAACTGAGTCAACTAAACTGAAGTAGAGTAAAGCAAAGTAAACTATCATTGCTCCCCTTCGCCCACTTTCCTTCATTCTTTTGCTTTTTTGCCTGCAGCGTGTGAAAAATTGCGTTGAATGAAAAGCGTGGCTCCAGCCCCAGGCTGGGATGGATCCCAGTCACAGTGCCAGCCTCAATTTCAGTGGTGATAATAAAGCGGCCAGGGGCTGAGATAATTGATCTATAAAGACTTTGCCAAGACAATGGAATAACTCCGCCGTGATCGGAGCCAAATGAAAATCTAGCTTAAGGATAGTTTTTAGGTATTGCATAGATAGCTAGGAAATAGAGGTAGAGATGGAGATAGAGATAGAGATAGAGATAGAGATAGAGATAGAGATAGAGAT